AACTAAAAATTCGTGCATGGCATTCTTATGTCTTTCATTTCCGAGAGAACTTGAATGCCGCAGATGCTACAACGCTAGTTATTTAAATTAAGTATATCTATAAATATGTAGAAAACATAAATTTAAAAGTGTATAACTGGTAGGACGTTATATAAATGTTTAGTTTTTTTTAAATAAGGAAACTAAAAGCCACAATTATTTGTTAAATAATTTATTGCTTATAATGTTGTACCATTGTAATGAGATGAGATGATAGCCTTTATTTGTCAGTTGCAGTTGCCCACCGAGAAGACAGACCTTGCCGACCGTACAGGTCAGGGAGGTAGCAAAGGAAAAAAACAGTGAAATGTGTAACACATAAGGATAATCCAGAAAGATAAGGGACGGAGACGGTGAAAGACGCGTCCGCCTCCTCCGAGAGCCAAAGAAAGAAAGCATTTTCTTGTAGCATGGTTGAAACATTGTAGCAACCATTGTTGTACCATTTTCTTGAATATTATGGCTTTTATACATCCAAAATGATTTCTTGTTTAGTTTCAGAATTAAAAATGAATTACAACTGTTGCCACCATCATATCAGCTTAAACACAGCGTCAAACTAAGGAGTCTGATGTGACACACAAAACAACAGAAGGCTGGGACTCTTTCCGAACGCTCATTGGTTTAGAGCTAGAGAGGGGGAGGGATTTATTATAAGCAACAGCTTGCTGAGGAAGTAGATCCGGGGCAGCGGTGAGTAGAAACACTGAGCAGTTTTATTTCTGTTTTTTTTTTTTACCGGATTAAACTCCCATAAAACGCCTCGGTGTGACCGTCCGGCTGCCGGAGATCATATCGCGGGGCTGGCGACAGTTTCTGCTGCGTCACGTTACCGGTGTTTTGGCGAGTGATTGGGCAGCTAGCGTTAGCAAACAGCAGGAAGCTCACTAACAGAAAGTCTGTTAGTGAAGTTTTTCGGAGTTTTTTACACAGAGATCCAGAAATAAACAATTTATACTATATAACTATATATTTATAACTGGCAGCGGAGGAATACACAGGAGCTGAGGTACTTATTTATGAGGCGTTACCTGTGTTTGTTCTCCACTGTTTACATGCTGGGTCCTGTTTGTTTAGGGAAGGAAACGAGGAGCTAGAGAAGTAAACACGGAAACAGAGAAGGAAGGGAAGAAGGATAAGAGGAGGTAGAGAAGTAAACAAAGAAACAGAAGGAAGGAAAGACGTACAGAAGGCAGCAAGGTATCGGGTAAGAATCATGGTGGCAGAGAAAGAGCAGGAAGGAGGGATATGAGGAAGGAAAAAAGGAGTTGGTAAATAAAGGGGGCAGGATGGAAATGAGGACACAGAAAGGACGAGGAGGAGGGGAAAAAGTAGGGAGAGGTAACAAGGAGGCATTGTACAAAATAAGGAGACAGAGGAGGAACCAAGGAGCCACAACCTAGGAAAGAGAAACCTTTTTTCTCCTCGTTAAATGATTTTTTTTTTTGTCTCGCTGTGGTGGTAGGCGGTGTTACCTCTAGGTATCCAATGACAGCTCTCCGATCATGTCCGCGGGCGGGGCTCCACACAGAGCGGACTAATGAGGAGGAGGCAGAGCCATGACGGGCGAGGAGACGAGGGGGGGTCGGCGGTGGCAGGGGAGCAGAGCGTGGCGGTGGGGGGCGTGCCACGTCTTGCCGTCTTCCTGTTCCCCTCAGAGATGGTGTTCTACGCCGAGCAGAGGAGCTCCCATAGGAGGGTGCTGACCCTCTACAACCCCTACAACTTCAGCCTCAGCTTCAAGAGTGAGTGCAGCCATGTTTAGGCCCTGGTCACGCCGCCACTGGCTCTAACAGCCTCTAACAGCCTCTCTCTCTGTCCTCACAGTGTGGTGCACGGCGCCCTCGTTCTACAGGGTGGTGGAGGCAGAGGGCAACATCCGGGCCAAGTCCTGCGTCGACCTGTGAGTGTTTCAAACTTTGTTTAAAACTTAATCCATAACGACGCTCACATGCAATCAAGTATTTTGTTTTCCTGTCAGGGTCGTGCGTCACCTGGACGTCTCCCCCAGACACTGGGGCCGCAGGGACCGGTTCCGCATGGAGGTGAGAGGCGGAGGCCAGGTGGGACGACGGGAGATTTGGGCGGAGCTTAGAGGAGGACAAGAGGAAGAGGAGCAAAGAGGAGGTCAACAAAGGGCGCTGCCCCATCCTACTTCTCAGCTCCTGCCCACACAGGCACACCTGCCTGCCTGCACAGGTAAGGCACCATGGAGTGCTCTGATTGGTTCCTGCAGCAGTGCATTCGCGGGTGCAGAGTGAGTTGATCTTACTAATGATGTTTCTGTGTGTGTGTCTGTGTCTGCAGCTGTGCGCAGCGCGTCTCAGTGGGCGGTGTGTGTGGCTGTGGCGGTGCTGTGTGTCACAGTGTTGATGCTCCCCCTGCACACTGACAGCAACTCGCTGGTTCCACGCTGGCTGCACGTCTCCACCAATCAGAA